CAGGCGTAGGATCCTCTGCTTTGTGTAGTCTTGGTGCTTCCACCGTTGTTCCGTCGCCAGATGCATCTGCTTCGCTTTCCTTCACCTTGGACTCTGGCGCTTCTCGGTGTTTCTTCCGCGACTCCACCACCCTGACGCCGCTTCCTGTTCCTGCTGCCGTCTCTCTTGCTGACCCCTCTGGTGGTCCGGTAGTCGCCCGCAGTTCCACCACCCTTCCCTGTCCGGCGGTTCCTTCGGGCTCTCTCACAGGTCTGCATATCCCCTCGTTCTCCAGGAACCTAGTTGGTGTCGGCTGCCTCCAGGACCTTGGCGTCACCACTACGTTCCCTGGCCACGAGCGGTATGTTGTCTGTACCGAGGCCGCCATTGGTGCCCCCCTGTCCACGTTCCCCCGGGACCCGGTGTCCGTCCTGTTCACTCTGGACACCGTGACCCCCCCGGCTGGGGCCCCCCCTCAGGTGGCTGCGTCTACCCAGGTTGCTGCTGCCTGCTCCTGTCGGTCCCTCACTCACCCGACTCTCCTTTGGCACCACCGCCTAGGTCACCCTGCGCTCCCGCGTCTGCGTCACATGTCCCAGCACGGTCTTGTCCTTGGTCTCCCCGGTTCTCTCCCCGCGTTTCCCTCCTCCCCCGCCCCCCCTTGCACGCCCTGTGTCGAGGGTCGGCTTCGCCATGCCCCTCACTCCTCCTCGTTTCCCCCTACCGCCGCGCCGCTGCAGACCCTGCACCTGGACGTCTGGGGCCCCGCCCCCGTCCCTGGGCCGCGTCGAGAGCGCTACTTCCTTGTGCTCGTCGACGACTTCACTCGTTACACCACAGTCTTTCCCCTGGAGCGCAAGGCCGACGTGCCTGGTGCTCTCATCCCCTGGCTTGTCTCTGCGCGTGTCCACCGCGGTCTCCCTGTCTTGCGTCTTCACTCAGACCGTGGTGGCGAGTTTGCCTCAGGTGTCCTTGGTCGCTTTTGTCGTGCGGAGGGCATCACCCAGACGTTCACCCTACCGGACTCCCCACAGCAGAATGGGGTCGCTGAGCGACGCATCGGTTTGGTCATGGAGGTGGCTCGCACCTCCATGATCCATGCCGGTGCACCCCATTTTCTGTGGCCGTTCGCTGTGCGCTACGCTTCTCACCAGCTTAACTTGTGGCCGCACCCTCAGCAGCCGCAGGTTTCGCCGACCCGTCTTTGGACTGGGTCTCCTGGTGACGCGTCTGCGTTCCACGTCTGGGGCTGCCTTGCTCACGTTCGTGCCTCCGGCACGGACAAGCTCACTGCCCGCACCCTTCCCTGCGTCTTCCTCGGTTTTCCCCTTGACGCGTCCGACTGGCACTTTTACCACCCGCCGTCTCACCGCTTCTTTCACTCTCGTGACGTCACCTTTGACGAGTCCGTCTCCTACTACCGTCGCTTCTCCCACCATGGTCCCGCGGTTACCCCCCCCCTGTTCCTGGTCACTCCTTCCCCGGTAGTCCCTGCCCCTCCTCCTCCTCCTCCCCGTCCCGCCCCCTCTGGTGTCTCCCACGTCACCCCCCTTCCGTCCGTGGACCCGGTTGAGGAGTCTTCTGACTCTGGTGGCCCTCCGGTGTAGTCCTCGCCGGCCGCCCCTCCCCAGGTGTCCCCTCCCCAGTCCCCTCCTCCGCCGCCCCTGACGCCGCTGCAGCCGTCGCCGTCGCCGCTGCCGCCGCCGCCGCCGCCGTCGCAGCCCCCGTTCGCTGACTCTGGGGGTGCTCGTCCCGGTCGCCCTGAGGGTGGTCCCTCTGGGGGTGCGGGTGTGGAGAGTGCCGGTGGTAGCCGAGGAGCCGCGTGCGGTCCAGGTGTCGCCGTTGTGCGGCCGCAGCAGCAGTTCCCACCGGTGTCCGCCCTTCGCCTGCTCGGCCTTCCGTCCCCCGACCCTGCGTCGGTTCCTCCCCGCCCGTCTCCTCCTCTTCCTGTCTACGGCCCTGTTTTCCCTCCGCCGGACTCGTCCCCGGCCCGTCTCCCCCCTCGTTCCCCTCCTGTGTCCCCTCCCCTGTCTCCTGACCCGACTCCTCCGTCCCACGTCTGGTCTCACCGTCCCTCCCGTGCTCGTCCTGCCTCACCTGTCTTGCGCTCCCACCCTATGTTGCTTCGTTCCCACGCGTCTCGTCCTCCCCTTCTGCCGTCGCCTCCTCCGTCCTCCCTTGTTTGTCACAGGATCGAATGTGTCGAGGAAAGGTTGCACTATCGATCAGTACAAGGTGCTTTTATACTTCCAGAGTACATCAGGGAACCAGGTTTATCTTATCCTAAGGGAATAGACCCTTCTAGAAGATAGAATCACCCTGCGTATAGCCACGCGAGGCTATTGGCTTTAAGAGATTACGACAGGATTACGCTAGATAGCGTGTCTAGAACATTCCATGCTTGGTCGGTGATATAATTATAATAAGGGAAGAAACCAAAGGATAATGGAAAATGGGGAATATGAGGCAAAAGGAGATGAGATAAAAAGAGGAATGAAATGAAGATGAAATATGAAAAAGGCCAAGTGGTGTAACGGAGTCGTACTCTCACATTGTTGTTGCGCCCCCCCCGCTGTCTGACTACCTTCGTGCCGCTCGTCCCCTTGTTCCTCGGGTCCTTGCCTCTCTCGTTACCGACCCGTCTGTTCCGGTCTCGTGCCTTGACGCCCTTGTCGCTGCTGTCGCTGACTTCGCCTCTACCCGCCGCCTTGACTACGCCACAGCTCTGGTCTCTGACCCTGCCTGTCCTCCGTCTGTCGGGGGTGCTCCTGCTCTTGGCAGTGACGCCAGTTCGAGCTTGCTTTCCTCTCCGAGGCTGCTCCCCATCTCTGTTCCATGCTGCTAGTCCCTGAGGGTGACCCAGACGCTTTCGACATCCCGACCCCTCGCACTTACGCTGAGGCAACTTCGGGACCCTGGGCCTCACAGTGGATAGCTGCCATGGAGCAGGAGATGGCATCTTGGAGATCCACCGGCACCTTTCTCGACGCAGTTCCCCCACCTGGGGTGAACGTAGTCGATGGCCGCTGGCTCTTCAAGGTGAAGCGCCCTCCTAGAGAGCCGCCTGTCTTCAAGGCGCGCTATGTGGCTAGAGGCTTCAGTCAGCGCGAGGGGGTGGACTTCTTCCAGACCTTCGCTCCGACCCTGAAGATGACTACTCTTCGGGTTCTGTTACACATAGCTGCTCAGCGTGACTACGAGCTTCACTGCCTCGACTTCTCTACTGCCTTCCTTCAGGGCAGCCTACACGAGCAGGTCTACTTGCGTCGCCCTCAGGGCTTTACTGGCACCTTCCCTCCTGGGACCCAGTGGCTCCTCCGGCGCCCCGTCTACGGCCTGCGCCAGGCTCCCCGTGAGTGGCACGACACTCTGCGTGCTACGCTTGCTGACCTGCAGTTCTTTCCGTCTTCCGCAGACCCTTCACTCTTCGTTCGTGCTGGCCAGACTCCGTTCTACATCCTTGTTTACGTCGACGACCTGGTCTTTGCCACAGCAGACAGGGACGCACTGGCCTCCGTGAAGGCAGAGCTGCTGAAGAGACACAAGTGCACTGACCTTGGAGAACTGCGCCGCTACCTTGGCTTGCATATCTCCAGGGACAGAGCATCGCGCACCATCACCCTGACTCAGTCACACTTGGTGCGCCAGGTCCTTCAGAGGTTCAGCCTTCAGTTCTCCTCTGCACAGCCCACCCCTCTGCCTGTAGACCACAGACTCTCCGCTCCAGTGTCTGAGGAGTTGGTAGAGCCCAGTGGCCCCTACGCAGAGCTGGTGGGTTGCCTCATGTACCTGATGACTTGCACTCGCCCAGATCTCGCATACCCTCTCAGCATCCTGGCTCGTTTTGTGGCCACAGGCAGACACCGACCGCAGCACTGGTCTGCCGCTAAGAGGGTTCTGCGTTATCTTGCTAGTACATCGGGCATGGGGTTAGTGCTAGGAGGACGCAGGCCAGTGGTCCTTACTGGACACATAGACGCTTCGTGGGCAGACGACGCTGAGACACTCAGGTCTACCCAGGGCTACTGCTTCAGCCTTGGCTCAGCTGCCGTCTCTTGGAGAGCTACTCGCTCCTCGTCTGTTGCGCAGTCCAGCTGTGAGGCTGAGATCTACGCTGGTGCCATGGCGGCACAGGAGCTCCGCTGGCTGACCTTCTTGCTCACTGACTTAGGTGAGCGGCCTAGCTCTGCCCCGGTCCTATTCGCTGACAACAGGGCCATGATCCTCCTGTGCCAGGAGCCTCGACTTGAGGGCAGAGCGAAGCACATTCAGCTGCGGTACTTCCTCCTGCGTGAGCTACAGCAGCGACGTCAGGCTCGCGTAGTACACTTGGCCTCAGGTGCCAACACGGCTGATATCTTTACGAAGGCGCTTGCGCCTAAAGATCATCAGTGGCACTGTGTACAGCTTGGTCTAGTTCCTGTAGCCTCTCACTTGCTAGGACCTTGACTTTGTACTGTCCTTTATATGTATATTCAGACTGGACTTGTGTCCTCTCCCAGTGGCTGGACTAGTAGTGCCGCCCTGCTCTTGTTCTTGCCTTGTCTGTACTCCTTCTGACTGGTCTCTCAGACCCTTGTCTCAGAGGTTGGACTAGTAGTGCCGCCCTGAGCTGCTTGTTTAGGACATTCCCCTATGCAGTCTAGGGGGTGTGTCAAACATGTGTATTTGTCATGTTTGTATAGACTGTATAGGGTCACCTCTTAGAGGGTACAAGACTTAGGTATATCTGTGTGTACTCTCACTCTCTCATAACACTTCTCTGTTTATGATACATGATTCCCGCGGGAATCCTCCCTCCTTACATTACCCCCCACTTTGTCCCATCCCTGCCCTCCCCGAATGTCGTTTTGCCCATCTCCCAATTTTCGCCAAATCAGCGTGAAATTCTGACGTAACCCTGATTACTCAGCGGAATTTTTTTTGGGAGTCCTGAAAAATCAGGGTAAACATGGGGGGGGGACCCTGAGCAATCAGGGTACCTTAAAACCAATCTGAGGCCCTGGTCAGCCCTGATGACAAGTCTGATGAATCAAACACCCCCAAAACCAATTTGGGGGCATGCATACAATATATGTTTGACAGTAACTAGATCCAGTTTAATTTAACACCCATACCCGCTCAAGCCACCCATGGGATGGGAGCTTAATTCCGGCTGGTACTGTATCCGGGAGAATACGGTAAGAGTGTTTCTAGTGTTGACACCATTTTCAACATCTCCTATTACACCACCATTCACATCACAGCATTTCCATGCCAACGCGCCTCGCAGGGCCATCCCCAGCGCCCGTGGTCAGGGCGGCACGAGCTTCTTGAGCCTCTCAACGACGGCAGCCATCTCGGGGCGCAGCTCCTCGTCGCCGATGCAGAACTTGGCGATCACCGCGATCTTGAGCGCGCTGTCGCGGTCAAACCGGCTGCCCAGCGCGCTGTCGATGAGCAGGTCGATCTCAGGCTTCTTCTGGTCCAGCAGGGGGAAGACCCAGCTGGTGAGCGGCTGCCCCGTGTCGGACACGGCGCGCTTGCCCGTGATGAGCTCCAGCAGGAACACCCCAAACGCGTACACGTCCGAGCTCTGCCGCAGCAGCCCTGCCACCGGCACCAGAGACAGGGGTGGAGGGGTGGGAGGGAGGGAGTTGGTGGGGATGCGGAAGGGAAGTAGTGTACATAGTAGTGGGACTCGGCAAGGGGGAACAGGAGGAGAACTTGTGGGATGGTGCGGCAGAGAAAAGGCTGCAGGATGAAGAGTGAATCTAATCGATGCCACATGTGGCCACGTCGCCTGTGTCCATGCAGTCAGCTGTCTCCATGCAGTCACCTGATGCCCTGTGGCCACCTGATGCCCTGTGGCCACCTGATGCCCTGTGGCCACCTGATGCCCTGTGGCCACCTGATGCCCTGTGGCCACCTGATGCCCTGTGGCCACCTGATGCCCTGCAGTCACCTGATGCCCTGTGGTCACCTGATGCCCTGTGGCCACCTGATGCCCTGTGGTCACCTGATGCCCTGTGCTCACCTGATACCATGTGGGCTGTGGGCACCTGTCTCCATGTAGTCGGGGTCGAGGTACCCCATGGTGCCCATGACCCGAGTGGACACGTGCGACTTGCCCGCGTCCTGCTCCTTGCACATGCCAAAGTCGCTCAGCTTCGCCGTCCAGTCCTGCAACCCACACGCCCAGGGGAACGCGCCGGGGGCGGCCAGGTTCAGGGGTGCAGGCAAGATGCGGTGGGGGATGATGGGCATGCGCGCGAGCAAGGATGGGAGGGACACTTAGACAATGGAGCATGTCAATGAGGGGCCATGGCAACGGCAGTGGAAGGGGAGGGCGCGGCAACCATCAGGGTATGAAGCCACCGCAGTCCTTCAAGTGGACATGTGCTGCTTGTTAGAATATATTGTCTATTATTTTAGCCTACAGAGCTAATTAGTCTTGGCTAGTTATAAGCATCGTATTATAGCTTGGGTATAGTTACCCTCGTTGGGGCTGGGATCCCAAAGTTGGGTTCTCATCCTTGCCATGATTGGCCCTCAATTGGTTGAGTTCCCGATTCTTGGCCACCCACAGTAACTCTGGCCACTCTGGCCAACATTATTGGGGTTACCAATAAGTCAGTCAACCTCATTGGTGGGAAACCCCCTCCCACCATTCCTATATAAGGCCTTGTGCTCTCCTCCCTAATCAACTTTCTAAGGTCACGTTTTCTCACATGGTATCCGAGCCTTAGGCTCACGCCCCTCACCGATCCTGAATTTTCTCCCTCTCGTTTTGAGGAGGCACTATTCCTCCGGTTTGTCCCTTTTCCTCCCGTCGTTTCCATTCCTCTCGCACACTCTTCCCTCATGCCAGTCGGCCACGATCTGCCCAGCTCCTCCCGCGGACGTCGCGAGCGTCGCGCGGCCCTCCCGCGGACATCGCGAGCGTCGCGGCCCTCCCGCGGCCGTCTCAAGCGTCCGCGGCCGTCGCGCGCGTCGCGCGACCCCTTCCGCGGCCGTCGCGCACGACCGCGCCCCCCCTCCCTCCGCCGTCGAGCGGTCATTCCTGTGGGGCATTCCGCGGCCCTCCCTT